CTTTCCAGCGTTCAAGGCGTCTATCCTGAGAGCTAATTAAGGAGCCATTTTTCTCAGAAATAGTCTCACTGTGCAGACTAGTTACATCTGATACATAAAAATCAGAAGATATACAGATGAAAATCAACTAGTTGGCAGAAGTAGTAACACCAGTAAAAATAGGACTTCAAGGGGAATATGGAGAAGACGCAGGTGATCGAGATTAACCAACTAACGACAACAAGCAGCTCCAATCAATACCAAGAAAAGAAATTTGGACGAAGAAGCCACTTCCTTCACTTATCTGGCGGAGAAGTATCGTTTCAACCACAGGCGGAACGAATGCAAAAAACCGAAAAGGCAACGTAAACCTCAATCTGAAATCAATTTGGAAATCTTCTGCATCGAAATCAGCATAAACAACACCATACCGATTTCCACCACTAATGTTAAATCAAAAACACTTCTACTATATGCATCAGAAATTTGGCCAGCTAGTCGCTAAAAGTTTTGACAACATCCTACGGCAGACTTTTATCCACAGCTGTCTTTTCTGGTTGAAGATCACATCGTCAGAAATAACTAGCAACAAGGAACTCTAGGAACTAGCCAATCAAGAGCCTGTTACTCAAAAAATATTCTAAAGAAAGTGGAAATGTATCAGACACAGACTGAGGAAACCATCGGGTCAAATCGTGCGTCAGGCTATCGTAGGGGAAAACTATTATTCGGATGTCCGAGTATGATGCGGAAGTTTATGAGAAATCGTGGAGCCAGCTGATGGTGTCTGTAGGGAGAAAGGCGAAACGACGATGTTCTACTGAAGCCCTGTGTTCCACACAGAACCCAAATGAATAATGATAATAATAATAATACACAGATTCTAGAACATAGACACACTTTTCGGCGTCCAACAATTGTCATATTTCTTGACCTGAAGGCGGCCTTCGACTCCGTGGACCGAAAGGTACTATGGCAATGTCTGACTGTGAAGGGAGTGCCAAGAAAGTACATTGCACTAATTAAGGCACTCTATTCAAACTCACGTAGTCGTGTAAGGGCTTATGGGGAATTGTCATCTGAATTGATAACAACCAGTGGTGTCCGACAGGGATGTCCACTTTCCCCATTTCTGTTTAACTTCATCATAGATATGCTAATGGAAGTATCCTTAACTGAACGTAGTGACTTAGGAATCGACTTGTTACCAGGGAATAGTCTTATGGACTTAGAATATGCAGATGACATAGTCCTGTTAGGGGAGGATGCTGACAAAATGCAGAGTCTTCTGAACACCTTGAGCAGCAATCTTCGTATGTTTGGCATGCGATTCGCCCCTACAAAATGTAAGATGCTTCTACAGGACTGGACGACGTCAACACCTAACTTAGTGATAGGGAGTGAAGTGATAGAACATGTTGACCACTTCACCTACTTGGGAAGTTGTATTAGCACCAACGGACTGATTGGCGATGAAATCTCAGCACGGATCCGAAAAGCTCGAGCTGCTTTCGCTGACTTACACCATCTCTGGCGTAGGCGTGACATCCGGCTATCAACCAAGGGACGTGTGTACTGCTCATCAGTTCGCTCCGTCCTTCTCTATGGCTCTGAAACATGGCCAATACGCGTTGAAGACATGAAAATGTTGACTGCTTTCGATCATAGATGTCTGCGATCTCTGTCTCACGCTAGGTGGTTTCACAAGATAAGTAATGTTGACGTTAGGCGTAGAGTGTTGGGCAAAGAGGGAAAATCAATCGACGAGGTTATAAAGTTACATAGACTAAGATGGCTAGGTCACGTGCTGCGCATGCCTAACCACCGCCTCCCCCGACGGGCATTGTTAGCTGATATGAGTGCAGGTTGGAAAAGAGTAAGTGGTGGCCAAACAAAAACATGGCCTCATCAATCCATGAAATCCTTGACAGTTAAACTGAGTCAAGTAGGGAGGGAGATGCAGACTCCCGGGTTGGGGCCCTCGGGACTCTAGGAATCAATGGATGGAGACAATAGGTGACATGGGTCAAAATCGTTGTCAATGGCGCAGATGTATTCAGTCTCTGTAATCTTTCATATTCCTTTCTACCATTACCCATTCTGTTTCACTCTTATATTTGTCAAACTCTATTGATTCTCTTCACTCATCTTCTTGTCTACCTCTGTGTGCTATTTGGAAGGTGGCAACTCGAACTCCTGCACTTCGGTGCCAAGTTCTATGTTGAATCAAGCCAGCCAGACACAGTTTGATATTAGTCGCTACGATTGTAATGAAATGATGACCCAGTTAGCAGTGGGTTTTGTAAAATGGCAGAGTGGTGATTCAAAATCCATCTTGTATGATTTCTGTAGCGATCAAGATTTTCATTTCACTTTCAATCATCATTCTTTATGTCAACTGGTGGATGGTTAGTGGCAATGGAATCCAAGATGCACATTTCGGTCCAATTAACCGAAAGGAAAATCTAAACTAAATTAAATAGGTAATAAGACACGTTGCACAAGAGGTGGGTGGCTCTCGTAGCTAGCTAGAGTGGTCTAGTGGATAACGCTTTGGTATTTGAAACCACTGGCAGTGGATTCGAGCCTCGGTGGGAAAACCATCACTTATTGCGGAATGCAGGTACATCCAGATGACGAGTCCCAAATAGGACGAAATGCACATCCAAGATTCCACTGCTAGTCACCATCCACCAATTGACTTATAGTTTCATGACCAGACATTGTCGAAGCATCTGCGCACAAGAAGCCGATAGACATGTCAACCTGAGACCGAGCACTTCGGTCCAATTAATTGACGCGACAATGTAAATTGAATTAAGCATCATTCCTTAGGTATAGCGACGTTGTTTTCATGAGGGGGAACGCTAGTCTCACACTCAACCACCCCACTTTTACGGGTCTACTACCACTAACTAGGTGAAGCTTAGGAGTGGGACTAGTTGGACTAACCACATGTCTGGCTACCATTCTGTCTATCACTGGACCACCACCGATGCATGAACATTAATACCACTCATAAACTCCAACAATATAATACATGAGAAATCGATTGATCTCAAGACATATTTATACTATCAAAAACTTCAATCAAGGTGTTGTTCTCTCTATAATTAAATATCAGAATAATAATATGGACGAAAAGAGAAGCAAATCAAGGAAACCAGACAGACAATCAATACTGCTTTTTACAAAAATGAGAACGACAATATAAGCGCAAAGAATAGGAAATATATCCCCGGGTAAATAGGACATGATTACAGGTTATTGAGTTTATTTATACAGACAGGAAATCATTAACCTAGACAAGACTGAAGTGTTCATTTCGTCCTATCACAGTAAAATAGATCAATTTAAGGAATTCTACAAACAGTTTGTTTTGAATCAACAATGTTCGCTTCGTACTACTATTTCAAAACTAATCAGCACACTATGGATTCTACTGACAGCTAACGTCGGAATAAGTAACTCTGATTTAATAATAATCATAGCATTATCGAGAGGCACCCCTTAAAGGAGTCCATATGCCATCCGACTATATCCTATGGGAGTACATCGGTAGCTTAACGGTAGAATGCACACCCACCACATACACATGTGACCTGGGGTTCGATCCCTGGCCACCGATGTACTCCTTTACCTCGCTAAGCCAGTAATAAGACCGGTAAAGAGTGTTGGTTAGGCATGAGGCTAGCAACTCTAACCCATAAAATAAACACCCCACTGCTACCGAAGCTTTAAAGCTCTAGCTTAAAGCTCTATGATCCATTGAGAACGCAAATAGATAACAATATCCTATAGGAAATAACAAGTGTGAATAAATTATTTAAAAAGGGTAACACACACATATACAAGATAACTGTGAAGCCTTGTAGTTTTGTTTTTTTAATGGGTGGAAATTACTAGTCTAACGCTCAAATCATCCTTCTTTTTGCTAGGCTTCTCCCAGGCTAGCAAAAATATAGGTGAGATTTAGGAGTGCATCCATGAGGAGTCAAGCCTGCTTCTCCTGCAATGTTGGGGAGCATTCTGCCCGTTGAATGACCAACTCATTGTATTAAATACATAATACAGACGTTAACAGTAGTATTTATTCAAATTGAACTTCTTTATCGAATGATAACAGTAATTCAAATTTGCTAGTAAGCTAGCATTCAAGTGTTAAATTGTAGGAATTTGATTGGTTACAGGATTTCATTATGAGCTGACATTAGTTAGAGAACCTTTGGAAAACCTGGGAGTACACTACAGCTGTTTCGTCCTAGTTTGGGACTCTTCAACAGTACGCACCCATCACAGGGTTTCGAACCCAGGTCCTTCTGGTTACAATGTCAGTGAGCTAGTAAACCATTAAGCCACTGGGACCCGATCCAATGGTCCATGGACTCTAACTTCTGCTAATTCACGAAATAGCGCGACCGCTAGTCAATGTCTTCGGCGAGTATTTGAATATCTATGAGAAGCTCACTAGCGACTTGCCTTAGTGGGAAGTCGTGACCAGTAGGGTGTACCAGGTCGGGTGTGAGGACAAATACTCGCTGAAGACATTGGCTGGGGTTGCGCTATGTCGTGAATTGGCAAAAGTTAGAATTTATGCACTGGCCATTGGATCGAGTCCCGGTGGCTCAATGGTATACGAGCTCGCTGGCCTTGTAACCAGAAGGTTCTGGGTTCGAACCCTGGAGGTGGGTGCGTACTGCTGAAGAGTCGCAAATCAGGCTGACGAAACAGCTATCCAGCACTCCCAGGTTTTCCAATGGTTCTCTAACTAATGTCAGTTCATGATGAAATCCTGTAAATAATCGATGCAGTTAGTCGGTTCCGACTCAGTTATCTATGATAGGTTACTCATTTCACCAGGCTATGATCCATACAACTATTGTGTGAAAGTTGAATTCGCCAGGGCGGGACTGAAACCATTCGAGTACTTATAGCCAGTTAGGGCATATCTTCACCAATAGTAAATGTAGGGAAAGAATAAACGGTAAAATATACACATATCAAAATGATTGATTACCTACCATTTGACATCATCTGTATGCTCTAAATAATGTCGTTGACATTGTTCTTCAATATTGTAGAGAACAACAGTTGCTGCAACAAAATAAATCAATTCCCCAGTTGGTAAATAATACAGATTATTTCGACAGTCACGTCCACGATAACCATAACTAAACACCACCATCATTGAATAGTATTATAAGTAGTAGTGATTAAGGAAAAAGCTTTCAGGAATACAAATGAAAAATAAAGTAAAATACCAAGCAGGCAACAATTTCTATTGTAACTAACTAGCTGATACGAGTAGTTTGAGGGGGTGGGTGGGTGTAAACATTTTAAGCAGGACTATTCGTTCGTTCATCAACGGTGTTCACTCTCTATGGTCAGACTTAGTTGGGAGAACCTTGGTGAATTCTAGTTACATTATTATTATTTCCTCTAAATTCCCAGAGGAACGCAGGGTTTCAGCCGCGCGTCTCCATTGCATTCGATTCTCAGCTAGAGCTTTCACCTGGTTCCAAGTCTGCCTATATGTTTTTATCTCCTCTTCACATCACCTCCTCCAAGTCACCCTAGCACTGATGACCAACTCGCTGCTTCCCTTTCGGGTTCCACTCGAGCAATGGCCTGTCTTGAGATGTTACTTGATGGTTTCCTCAGAGTATGGCCAATCCACCTCCATTTCTTCCTGCCTATTTGTCGCATAATCGGTTCCTGTTTGGTTCGCTCATTGTCAGAGATTCCTGTTGCTGATTTTTTCGAGCCGGCCATCTGATCTTGAGTGGTATTGAGTGAAGGCAACTGTTAATGAAGGTCTGTAGTTTTTTTTGAGGTGCTCTTTATGACGCGCTGGCCAAGTCTCTGATCCCTATAGTAGTACTGAATGACTTCACATTGGAGTTGAAAATCCCGATGTTATCTTCATTTTCATGCTGGGGAATCCTGTTGATCTCCACACAGACTTGAGAGTAATGAAAGCTTGTCTTGCTTTTTAGATTCTTGCTTTGATATCCTCATCAGTTCCGTCCGCCTTTAGTTGAAACGATGCCTCCAAGGTAGATAGGTAGGTGCAGGAGGTTGTTTCTTTCAGGTTCCTCCCATTTATGCTGGCTGATTGTTGTCTGTGCTGTTGGTGTTGTCCAAGAATCTTAATCACCTCTGTTTTCTCTATGTTCACCTGAAGGAAGTCCTATCTTCACTGGATGCTTCTCCAGCCAACTTGTTACTTTTCACTTGCATATCTTCCAGTTTGAGGGAAATCAGACATATATAATATAGTTATAAATATGAGAGAACTGGAACTACAGATATATGTTTGTTGAATACCTAAAAGCATTAACCTGTTGTGAAGGCGTCATTTAGTATATGACAAGACTCTTATCGATGAAATCTAGACAATTAGTACCACAAGTTTGAACTCTCAATTATTTGGAATAGGTTTTATGTGTCATCACTAATGGTACTGTAACGGTAGAAAACAAAGACTTGGTAAAGAATTGTCTATTTGCAGTTTGGTATCTCTATATAGCCAAATTATGCATGTACACCTTATTTTCAATGCAACATTTGTACAGATATTCCACGTTATGCTACTTCTACCCTTCCTTCAAATTGTGTGTGTGTGTGTGTGCGTGTATCTTTGTGTTTCTTTCACATCTCCCATGGATCTCCAAAACGCTGTATCATCATTTGCTTTCTTTGGTATCAGATCTATCTCCTTGTTATTTGATGTGTTTTTAAGCGGAGAATATCTCTTCATATACTACTGAAATTTTTTATCAGTAGCACATGCCACAGTAGTACCCAGTTAACTAACACTAAGTAGATCGAGTTGGATTAGAACCTGACATCTACTGGCTGAAAGTCAGCTAATTACTAAACTTTCACACCAAACATAAACTTCCAAAGTGTTAATGGTAATATAGAGTTGGTTTTAACCGACGGTGGCGCTGAAAACTCACGGATTGACAGATTTAAGATTTCATGAGGACTATTGGATTCTATCCCAGTGTGGCTCAATGGTTAACGAGCTTGTCATATAACCCAATGGTCATGTGTTCGATCTCCAGTAGCGTTTTGAGTGCTTACTACTGAAGAGTTCCAAAGTCGGACGAAACAGCCGATCTTCAGTGATTCCCTAACTAATTTCAATCACATTACATCATATAGCTCGTTTTTTTTTACAGCAAATCATGCCCTCGGCTTTGTCTTCCCATTCACAGTAAAAAGTATTAGTCATGTAAGCAGTTAGTTTACGTTCATAGAAAAGCCGCTTCCCAAGAGAAGGGGGGGCGGGGTCTCAATGCTTCCCAATAGGTAGTGTGTTGAACAACTCCCCAATATTTGACGAACCATGAGAAAGTAATCAATAGAATATTGAAAGCATTATCAAGCCTGGAAACAACCGCCTTACTACTTGTCAGCAGTAATGAGTTGAATTAATAAATTACCGATAAGGTAGTTGTTTTCAAGCCTCCAATGGTAGTCCCACCCTTATCACAGGAAGTACTTCTTAATACTGATGAATTGGCTCAAACGCTCGACTTTCAATCAACAGATCCTCAGGTGGAATCTGGATACACCTACATCAGTCTGAAAAAGTGGACAGTTTCAGCAGCTGTGATACAAGAAGTGTTTTTTTTTTGGCTTAGAGCTTCCACTACTCGGTGGTAACCAAGTTTTCAACTAATTGTCTATTACTTGAGGCCAGTAACTAATATGCCTCCAAAGCCTCAGGATGGTCGGGGGTGGGTGCCTTGCGCTGCGGGTTGGCCACCCCTCCGCACACCTCTTGAAATGCTCCCATATGACCGGGCGTCTTACATAGCCTCTCCTGAGGAAGTCCTACTCACTGCCTTCACGTGGCGGAAGTGTTTCTCACCAAAGTGAGAGGGCGAAAGCGGATGCCCGGCGCTCTCCACCGGGTTGACTGTCCATTGGATGACGGTCTAGGGGAGATGGCTAAACCCTGATTCCAAACCTCCAACGACTGGCGTATGAAGCTCACTGGAGCTCACCGGCAGACGTATGGACAAAGGGCTTGTTGGATGTCCTGGATGTCTGGCCCCATTCAAAAAGGCGTATGAACCGAACTCCGGTCACCGGCTGCCAATGGATAGTGGACTCCTTACTCCACTCCTACTGCCTTGTAGGTCACACTTGGCTGTGTAAAGGCTAGAGCTGCACTCTCAAACAAAAGGCCGAGCAATGCTGGGGACATCACTCGTACCAAATTCCCATGAAACTTCATGAACTCTCTTACAAATTGCCGCGCCTGGGCAGCGATGATTCGAGACGTTCATGAAGCCGGCTCATCCTCCCGTAGGAGATAGCCGAAGTAAAGTAAAGTAAGTAAGTAACTAATATATATATATATATATATGGTGCAATGATATTCAACTGAAAAGTAGGTTTAACTGTCTGATTCTCAGGTGTACACAAAATGTACAACACTTAAGTGGCAGTTAAGTGTGAGTGTTTCAATATGTCCTACTACTTTTGCCGTCTAATATAACACAAAATCACTATTATTAGTATTATTATTGAAAGGATACATCCATTCTAATTTTAGCGTCATATCCGGTGCTTTCAGTGGAACTGATAAATCATAATTTGTCATAACTTCTGTAGGCATATACACATTAACTGGACGTCCACGAATGTAAAAGCGTAGAATTCCATCACCTAGATAAAAAATATAAAAAAAAACAATCAAAAATAATAATAATACTAATCCGAAAATCTAATGAAAATAAGGACTATGACGTCATCCATTTATTCTCCTTAAAGATTTTGAATAAAGCAACAGAACAACAGTGATTTGTACAGAATAAAATGGTACTATGATTGTTTATTTCGTCAGCGTCTCATCAATTGCTTACAGCCTAAAGATATCATCATTAACACTGGACACCTAGTAACTAGTGTGTGACGTGTCTAGTCCTTTCTTTGGTGCAAACTGAATTGTATCAGTCAGTCAAGCTTGCAATGTGGTCACCATACCACTAGGTAGCCGGCCATCAGGGTGTACAAGGCAATCGGTCACAGGAAGCTTTGCTTGACCCTAGGTTTCGTTCTAGTTGGCACTTGTCAGCAAGGTGCAACTGCAACCTTGAGAGAACTGATATCTCTTCTGAGATTCAAACCCACGTCACCAGAGAAAGGACTAGACACGTCACACTAGTTACTAGTGACCAATCTAAGTATCCGGTAAAGTCCTACAGCAGGTCAATCGCAAGCCTAAATAGCTTAGTGATAATGTCTCTGACTGCAGCTCTCACTGGATGGGTGACGCGGGTTCGAATCTCAGAAGAGATGTGAGTTCCTTCAAGGTGATTGGTGATACACCTTGTGCTGACTGGTGAGTGCCATCTAGCATGAAACCTAGGTGGAAAGCTTCCTGTGGCCGATCACCTCCAACTATCTAATATCATATCATCATTAAGTTTATGTACAGAAACAATTTTAAATATACACTTACACAGAGAGTTCATTTTTAAGCAAAAAATCAATCAATCAATCAGTATATGCATACAATTCTAATAGTAATAAACACTTCATCTCAAACAATCATAATAATAATAATAATAATAGTCATACAGAATGGAAACTTTCCACGTTACGCAGTAAGATGAAAGAAAGAGGATGAAAACATATAGTTATCAGGACGATAATGAAAGACTGGTAACCACCGCTTTTTGAATGCATAAATCGGCTTTCATGCGCTTGACAGAGATTGCTTCGGCAAATTTGAGGAGAATTGAACTCTTTCGCTTATTGATAATTTTGAACGACCTTGCAATGTCCCTTTAGACATAGGTCTTTCGGTAAATGTTTAGAAAATCGAAGGTGTGCGCCCTTCATCTTTCTGTTCTTTCAATGTAACTGCTCCCGCAGATACATACAGTTGGAGTTAACATGAGAAGGATATCTGTTGACTTTTGACTGCACCAAAGACCAAGTTGTTCGATAGACGGGAACAAACTTATTTAGCTGAGGTTAAGCTCTGGCTAGTGACGTCTTCAAACGTCTATTGATTATTCCTGCAATATTTTCACCTTTATAATCAAGTTAATTGATGATGGGCTTTTTCCCTAGAATGATTTGTTTGACATTTGAGCCTTCAGATCTTCCGGACTTGTTAATGAAACTTTGACGGTAACCGTTACTTTTCAATATCTTTTCGAGAAACATAAATTCTTCCTCCAGTTTCTCTGTAGAGCATATTTAAAGCTATTTGGACAAAAACTATTGAAATGTAGGTATTGTCCTTGTAGGCTATCCCCCAGGGAAGGAGGGGAAATCAATGGAAGAGGCTGTGAAGTTACATCGACTGAGTGAGATGGTTAGGACATGTGTTACTCATGCATGCCTGGCCATCGCCCTCCTCGACGGACAATGTTAGCTGATATAGGGTCAAACTGGATAAGAGCCTGCGGCGGTCAAACCAAAACAAGGCTTCACCAGTCAATGAAATCCACAACAGTTAGTTTAAGCTAGCCAGCCACGTAGGAAGGTGAAGACTTCCTGGTTGGAGTCCTTGGGACGGTAAAAACCAATGAAGACTGGCGACAATTGCTGATATGGCTCAAAATCGTTGCCAATGGCGCAGATACATCCATTCCTTGTGACTTATGATTTCCAGTGAAACTATATCGTTCTTCTTTATTACTATTCCTTTGTCTCAGACCTCTGTTTACTGTCTCTATTATGCATTTCTCTTGCTCTATGTGCTACATGGAGTGTGGCGACTTGAACTGGTGCACATCGGTGCAAAGTTCCATGTCGAAAACATACAGGCAGTCTTTCAGTAAATTGCCTTTGGACTAAAAGTAGCTGATGACAAGCCAACGAAATAAGCATTGATGGTACCATTTTATTTTGCAAATACTGTTGTTCTTGTTTTATTCAAAGACTATGACTCTCAGAAGGATATGTGTGTATGCCGATGGATCATTTGATTGAACCCAACTTCATCTACTGAAGTTTATACGGAGGAGATAGAATCATTCACCTTTACACAGTCATTATTATTATTATTACATATTCCTTGAGTTCATGGTAAAACATTGAACTTCACAGATACACCTCTATTATACTAGATTCTCAGCCATCTCGTTCACATCTAGCTCTATAACTGCACCCAAAGCTTTTAGGCTTTGGCGTATTACCAACTGCCTGAGAATCCAAGTGAATATTGCTTAGTTTTTTTTCACATTTTTCCATTTTAGGTTTGCTATGCATAGCGTGTGTAATAATAATAATAATCCCTTTATTCCAAACAACAATAAAACTGTGGTGAGAGCAGGCTGCTAGCCAACTGGTAGACATCAGTGTACTTCAACGTGCGCTTCCCACTTTGGATGAAGAATTCAGAAGCTCATTGTCTTCCCAATTCATCGAGAGTGTCCCAGACCAAATTTCTCAGCGATTACAACTGGTTAACGCAACGCAGCCGATGGATATTAGTGAGCTGGCGAAGGTGACCAGACAGCTGCTGAGCGCAACTGTAGCCGCTATAGAGCAACCAAAACCAAGCGTTGCAGCGGGAAGTGGCGGCGTTAAAGTTGGGTGAGAGAAAAGACCGATGTTTTGAATGCGGTAAGCCGCGACACTGAAGGAGATACTGCCCATAAAGGCGAAAAAGAAAAAGTTTCAGACGGTATAATACATGTTCTTTCTCTCGTATGAAAGTAGATTTAGTGGGAGGCTATTGAGAAAGGGGCTGTGAATTCGAAGTTGCGAGTGAATGATCGAGAAGTAGTATGTTTAGTAGATACAGGGGCGGCCGTGTCGTTAATAGATAAGAACTCATGTAAAAGTGTTACTCCGTGTTCATTGACAGTACAAACAGTAGGCGGGCATGTGTTGCGTATCACAGGTAGATCGAACTGTACGGTCGTTGCTGGCGGCTGCAAGATGACGTTTCCTTTCATTGTTGTATCCAAACTACAGCGAACGATATTAGGAGCGGATTTTCTGCGGGATATTGGTGCAATAATTGACACGCAAGCGAACGTTGTGATCACAAATTACGGGCATATCAACATGTATGAGACCAGCGAGATAGCAGCGGTTAAGCTGTCGACGGTATACAATATGACAGAGTTTTAATTAATAAATACGATCTGTTGCCGGTCCTTGTCTTCTGTTGTTACAATACTACTAATTACACAGAATGGAATTTACAGCGTTTTGTTTTACATATTGCAACAATTTAGCTCCTTTTATAGGCACGTATATAAATAAAATATTAAGGAAATCACTATAAACAGAATGTTGGTGGAAACATAATGAAGTATAAGTAGATAGGATCTCAGGTAATATATGTAATAATAATCCCTGCTTATACTTTGCAATTCAGTTACTGATTTTAAAAGTTTATGAGTTCTTTTCCGATATCGGACTCTGTTTTCGCACAAAACCCGTGCTAAATATGATGATTTGGTAGATTTTTTTATATTCAGTAGTTGTAAGAGCATACATTCTTAAGAAGTTGCTTCTGATTTTACCCGAAGATATACAAGGAAATAGTTGAGAATACGTAGAGAGGATGTTCTGTATCACGTAGGATAACTCCAGCCAAATGCTTTGAAGAAATGAAGTGCCTATTGACAATAGTGTCAAATAGCTGCGCTTAATCGGCATCACTAGTGCTCCTTAAAACCTTCAGTGTTCTACGTATTGTAATATAGTCTTATTTGAGAAGTCCAGGGAAGAATAAGACCGAACAATATAAAGAAGAATGAATAGAATACATAAATTAATAAAAAAAATGTAAGACAAGAAGTTATTCCAGAAAGTCAAGCGAAAATTTTTCTTAGAAATCAACAGGATACCAGAGACGACCAACAGAGATTCGAAGGGGAAACTGATACTGAGATAAGAGATATTCGATTTACTCCCAATCACATGGTTATATACAGGACAATCCCCTGAAACAAAAGACTATCCGGTGCACCGACGAGTAACAAAAACAGGATTTGAATGCAAGCTACAATACGCTGAACGAAAGAGTAAAGAAGAGTGCCAGGGAAGACAAAAGAAAGTATTATGAAGCCATGGAAAGTGAAGCAGAACAAGCTGCAGGCAAAGGAGACCTCGCCACACTCTATCAAACAACTAGGAACCTATCGGGGAAAAGTTCGACACAGATTAAGCCAGTAGGAGATGACAATGGAAGGTCAATCACCAAAGAAGTAGAGCAAAGAAAACACTGGGCTGAGCACTTCAAAAGGCTTCTAAATCGTCCACCACCTACAACGCGCCCGACAATACCAACAACGGAAGCAGAACTACCAGTGAACATCGACCCTCGACGAAATCAGAAGTCCTAAACGCAATCAAAATGCTAAAAGTTGGAAAAGCAGCAGGATCAGATGGAATCCCAGCAGAAGCATTGAAAATGGACTCAGAGACAACAGCGAACTTGATGACGCCACTGCTGGAGATCGTGTGGAAAGAGGGCAAAGTACCCGAGGATTGGAAGAAAGGATACTTAAGTCAAAGCTAAAACTGGCGTGGAATTATGCTCCTGTCCATCCCAACCAAAATACTAAGCCGAATCAAACAAACCCTGGATGAAAAACTTCGACCGGAACAAGCTAGATTCAGGAGAAACAAGTCATGTATTGATCAAATCGCCACTCTACGGATCATCATTCAACAGAGCTTGGAATGGCAGTCACCTCTCTATTTCAACTTCATCGACTTTGAAAAGGCCTTCGACAGCGTCGATCGGGAGGTGATTTGGCAACTACTTCGCTACTACGGGGTCTCATCGACAATTATACATCCCATCTAACAGTTGTACGGCAATGCTGCATGGCAAGTAATCCATAACGGGAAACTCACGGAAGCCTTCGAAGTGAGGACCGGAGTGAGGCAATGATCTTCCTTATTGCAGTAGATTGGATAATGCGACAGATAGACAGCGGGCAATGAGGAAACAGGCATAAAATGGACTCACACAAAAAACTTGGAGGATCTGGACTTCGCCGATGTGGTACATATGTCTGATTTCCCTCAAACTGGAAGATATGCAAGTGAAAAGCAACAAGTTGGCCAAAGGAGAAGCATCCAGTGAAGATAGGACTTCCTTCAGGTGAACATAGAGAAAACAGAGGTGATGAAGATTCCTGGGCAACACCAACAGCAACAAGTACAACAGACAACAATCAGCCAGCATAAATGGGAGGAACCTGAAAGAAACAACCTCCTTTACCTACCTACCTACCTACCTACCTACCTTGGAAGCATCGTTTTAACTAAAGGCGGACGGAACTGATGAGGATATCAAAGCAAGAATCTAAAAAGCAAGACAAGCTTTCATTACTCTCAAGTCTGTATGGAGGTCAACAGCACTCAGCATTCAAAATAAGACCCGGATTCTCAACTCCAATGTGAAGTCAGTGCTACTTCCTATACAGATCAGAGACTTGTCGCGTCATGAAGAGCACCTAAAACAAACTTCAGACCTTCATTAACAATTGTCTTCGCTCAATACCACTCAAGATCAGATGGCTGGCCAGAAAAACTCAGCAACAGGGATCTCTGACAATGAGCGAACCAAACAGGAATCGATTGTGGAACAAATAGGCAGGAAGGAATGGAGATGCATTGGCTGGCCATACTCTGAGGAAACCATCAAGTGACATCACTAGACAAGCCATTGCTCGAGTGGAACCCGAGAAGGAAGCGGCGAGTTAGCCGTCAGTGTAAGGGTGACTTGGAGGAGGTGATGTGAAGAGAAGATGAAAGCATGTGGGCAGACTTGTAGCCAGGTGAAAAAGTTGACAGAAAACCGAAGGCAATGGAGACGCGCGACTGAAGCCCTATGTTCCTCTAGGAATTAAAGGATATCATAATGATAATAATAATAATAATAATAATAATAATAATAATAATCTCCTACTCCCCGAGAGAAAATTGATTCTGAACAGTATAAGTGACATTGGTGGGTGATTCAACAGTAGAATACTCTCCTCCAGTTACTCTAGAGGTAAGTGCTCAACTCCCAGTCGACGCAATCTTAAACCTCACACAAAACCAGTAGTAAGCTAGGAGAAGAAGAGGGGTTACGAGTGAGGCCAGCAAACTCACCCTGTAAAAAAAAACAAAGCTTGAGGCCATATGCTCCGCTAAGAAAGTGAAGGAATTTTTTAAATACACAACTGACATTTAACACTTTCCCGACCTGGTTTTTTTTACAATACTTCTACAATGATACTGTCGGTTATGGCTACAAGCGATTTTTAAAATCTGCTTGTTTGTCTGAATTTAACGTTCACAGATGTGCGGCAGTTCTACCTGTCACACACTGTGTATAGCACACAAAGCAAGTGAGCAGAGTAAAGACAGATTCAAAAGACAGAGAGTACTGGACAGCTGTTTCGTCCTGGTTTGGGACTCCTCAGCAGTACGCACCCACCGGGATTCGAACCCAGGACCTTCTGGTTACAAGTCGAGCTCGTAGACCATTGAGCCACTGGGACCCGATCCAATGGTCCTTGAATTCTAACTTCTGCCAATTCACGACACAACGCGACCACTTCGCAATGTCTTCTTCGATGAGTTACTGCCTCATCTTCGACCTGCTGTACCCTACTGGTCACGGCTTCCCACTAGAACCCAGTACTCCCAGGTTTTCCAGTGGTTCTCTAACTGATGTCAGCTCATGATTAAATCCTCCATGCAATCAAACAAAATCCCTACAAAAAAACCAATACTTGAAAATTCATCTGATGCTCACTAGTGACTGGCCCTATTCAGGCAGTTAACCTGGGGTTCTAGTGGGAAGCCGTGTCCAGTAGAGTACAGCAGGTTGAAGATGAGGCAGTAACTCATCGATGAAGACATTGCGAAGTGGTCGCGCTATGTCGTGAACTGGCAGAAGTTAGAATTCAAGGACCATTGGATCGGGTCCCAGTGGCTCAATGGTCTACGAGCTCGACTTGTAACCAGAAGGTCCTGGGTTCGAATTCCGGTGGGCCAAGAACCCGTTTCGTATCATGATTAAATCCTCCATGCAATCAAACAAAATCCCTACAAAAAAACCAATACCTCAAAAGAGAGAGATGATAAACAGAAATATAAGTGAGACGAAAAGAATAGTAATATGCTGGAAGAACAATATAGTCTTATTGGATATGACAAATCACTCACAAGGAGTGGATACATCTGCACCAGCCATTGAGAATGAGGAATTTGAGACATATCAACAAATGTCTTCGTCTTTCATTGATTCTTACCACACTCCAAGGACTCCAACCAACCAAGAAGTCTACACCTTCCAAAGTGATTGATTGGCTTAAACTAACTGTTGTGACTGATGAAGCCAAGTTTTCGTTTGACAACCATTAGCTCTTTTTCAGCCTAATCCATCCTGTGTCAGATAACATTGCTTGTCGAAGAAGACGACCGATGGCTAGGGATGCATGTGTAACACATATGTCTTGACCATCTCAATCGATATAACTTCACAGCCTCGTTGACTGATTTCCCCCAACCTCCTTACCTAACACTAAATCGATGCCTAACCTCAATATTGCTCACTTTATCATATAACTTCACACGGGAGAAAGAACACAGGCACCTATGGTCAAAGACAGCTGGCCAATCAGGCTTTTCATGTATTCCACTCTCAATGACCATGTCTCACTGACAGTTATAAAGGAGGACAGAGCGAACTGCTGCTACGCAGTACACACACCCTTTAGTCGATAGTCCAATATCACATCTACGCCAGAGATGGCACAGTTTGCCAAACGAGCCTTCTGTCTCCGTGCTGAGATTTCGTCAGCGATCAACCCGCTCCAGCTGGTTGACGCGACTTCCCAAATAAATGAAGTGATGATCAACACGCTCCATCAACCAATACCAATACACTGCCTATCTTTAAGCTGGAAGTTCATATAGTCTAGTCCTGTAGCATCATCTTACATTTGACGGGGGAGAATCGCATGCCAAACATTCCAAAATCGCTTCTCGAGGTGTTCAGAAGACTCTGCATTTTACCAGCGTCTTCACCTAAAAGGACTATATCATCTGCACGTTTCTAAGACAACAAGATTATTTCCTGGTAGTAGTAACACGTCAATTCCTGAATCAATGAAGTCAATTACGGATAAGTGCCATTAGTACATCTATGATGAAACTAAATAGAAGTAATGGAGACAGTCAACTATTTAAAACCTTCATTTTACGTCAGTTAACATGAAAATCCTAGACAGTTGACGGTGTATTCACGAAGACAAATCAATACTACACAGCAAAAAAATAATAGAACCTGATGATGAGGCAACAACGACAACAACAAAAAGCAACATTGAATTACCTGGCAGGTAGGTGGTCTCCTTAGCACTAGAAGAATATAAAAAAATAACAGAGAAGGCAGAGAAAACTTTGTTAGAATGTTAAAAAACCAACAACTGACAATTGCACAGAGCAATGAATTGTTAGATTGCTATGTGAAAATAGTTATACGCATATATATATATCTATGTATATAAGTATGCAATAAACCACCTCAGTGCAGGGTAACATTTACACAGAAAGCACACCAGTGTAGCGTCAGACAGGTGATAATACTCTGTGTATTTGTTTGTGTGAGTGTGTGTGTTTCTTGATATATATTTAGTGAACAAAATCTTGCAGGAGTAGATTTAACCTTACGTCAGTTAAGAGACACACAACACCGTGAGGACGAGAAGGGGGAGTGTTGCTGTTGTTGTTAAAGTCAAAACGCAACTGAAATACAACTAAAAAAATGCTTTAAACCACACCAAATCAACCAATCAATCAATCAATAATCTAGACTTGCTCGTCATCATGAAATTTTGGTACGACTGGATGTCTGTTTAATGATAATGGAATAGTTTCACGATTTGTTGGACATATTGCCACTCCACCAGGTTTCCATGCAGTCGGATGTAGTGGTGCTCGACCAGTAGATGTTACAGTATGTACAGAACGATAATCATCATCACCATAATAGGCTGAAGATGGTCCAGACGATGGACGACCACGTCTTATCAGATTAGGCGGTAAGCATAGAGAAGAAGGCGGTAAAGCAGGAGGTAATGGTGGTGCTACTGTATTCGTTTTTCGAAATGATGTTGACATAGACGAAGATTGGTATTGACCTCCGCCTGGTGGACTTTGACACTGATTTAATCGATATATCTCAGACATATCACCATCACATGCTGATCTCCAAAATACTGTATAACCAGATGGTCCAGTAGATGCTTCATAATATCGTGATGATGAGGCATTCGATTTCAGTGTAGATGATTTTTGTGGATAGTTAATGAGTTCACTTTGTCTTGAAATCAACATATCATCATTACCATCATACATAGATAATGCTTTGGTATCACGTTCATGTTTATTGGTCACTAGATATCGTCTATCCTCTGAACTAGCACTAGTATTCCGATTCCGTCTAACCAATAATAATAATTAATAATAATAATAGTGAAAATTGATTTTATACAACTCACTTTATCATTAAAGATATTAGTTTAAAAACACAAAAAAAGGATAGTCTCATGTAAATAAACACAACTAAAGCTCTCCAAATATCGATTTGTAGGGAATTTTTGTTTGATTGGTTGCAGAATTTCATCATCAGCTGACATCAGTTAAAGAACCATTGGAAAACCACCACCACCACCACCACGGAGTACTGGACAGTTGTTTCGTCAGCCTTGTTTGGGACTCTTCATCAGCAAGCATCCACCGCCAGGTTTCGAATCCAGGATCTTCTGGTTATAAGGCTAGCGACCTCATAGACCATTAGGCAGTCAACTGGGACTCGTTCCAATGACCAGTGCATGAATTCTAACTGCTGCCAACTAACGATATAGGGAGAGCACTTAGAAATGTCTTCACTGAGTAACTGCCCTCACCTTCTACCTACTGTAACCTACTGGGCACTGTTTGACAGAAGTTAGAATTCATGAACTGGCTAGCTCGCCTTGTAACCAGAAGGTCCTGGATTAGAAGCCCATTGGTGGGCACGTACCGTTGAAGAGTCCCAAAGAAGGCTGACGAAACAGCTGTCCAGTACTCCTATCTGGGGTTTTCCAATGGTTCTCTCTAACCGATGTCCACTCATGATGCAATCTGCCAACCAACTAAAAATCAGAAATCAAGCGGAAATTTTTTTTAAAAAACTACCTCTTATGAAACATAAACGGAACAGAAGTAAAATAATATTTCATTTGAGAAAGTTGGACACATATTACATACACATATATAGTGTGCACTTTGTGAGATGCAGGTGGACAATTGAATTATTCGTCTTCTTCACCGTCGTGTGTACATGTAGACTATCTTTAAGGTTTATATTTCAAACGACAAAACATAAAAAACCATCGGATTTTAAAGTGATTAACAGTAGAAATAAGGAAGCACTCTTCAACCTAGTTAGGACTCGTCAGCTGAATAACTCACTTCGATTTCAGTAAGTGATGGCATTTGCATTAAAGAGTCCATAGTAGAAACCGATATATTAAGAGAGAATGGAAACCAATTCAATAATTAATGAAAGCGTCTAACTGGCTGCCCTCCTTCTTAAGGCGTAATTTTGCTCTACTGATCAAGGGGTACTTTGATATCATCATCATCTGGTACTTTGTCATCTGAAGTGATGACAACCAATGGTATCCGTCAAGGATACGAGCTGTCCCCATTTTTATTTAATTGTATCACTAGTAGTATCAACCCCTACTGAATTTAGCAACCTAGGAATCTTCGAATTTTTAGCGTGTCATCTACTCCTCATAAATGTAAGATGATACTACAGGACTGAACTACCTCGACTGACATCTAGCCTAAAGATAGGGAGTGTAGTGGTTGGTGGAGCGTGTTGACCAACACACTGCATTTATTCGGGATGTCACATCAGCCCCCAACGGACCGATCATTGACGAAATAACAGCAAGCATACAAAAGACCTGAGACATTTGTCAATCAGCATTATATCTAGCGCAGACGAGATGTCCACCGCCAGCCACTAAACACCCACGACGACATAAGACATAACACAACAAAAAAAAGGTCTAGGAATAAAACAACAAAATTCAATGCATGAAATTATGTAATCATCAATATTATAAGGGCTTCTGCAGCAATTTTTTTTTTCAATATATGAATATAGCATACTAGTCTGAAATACAACTTAAGTACAGACACCCATGATTTCAAAACAGAAAAATCGGAAGAGTAAGACAAACCTTCATCACTTTGAAATTACATGCATTTATTCCCCTTGATGAATTTGAATAAAGCAAGAACAACAGTGGCGGTTTGTGCAGAATACTATGGTACCATCCTGTGTTTATTTCATTGGCTTCTCATCAGCTGCTTACAGCCTAAATAAATTATGAGGTTTACGTACAGAAAAGTTTTAACATACTTGCAAATTTTACATGTTGTCAGTTGACAGAAAGTTCCACAATTAGTAAACAGTGCTCAGTGCGCTTATATAGTTCAAGTGAAAATAAATGTATGCATATAATGGTAAAGGAGTTAGACAATAAAGATGAGATGTGCGTTAGATGCATAGTGACTAATAAGTTAGGTAACAATGTACTGAGTTAAACTCAAATCACAGAATCAAGAGACAAGCAAAATTACAGATTATAAAATGAGGGTGAGGTTAAAGACAAAGACTACTCAATCAGATTAGAGAATAAAGACATCCAGTTACCAGGGTGGCAAGGAAAGATTAATAACTGCTTCTTTCTGAACACATAAATCTGGTTTGAAGAGTTTGATATAAATTGCTTCGTTTGGCAAACTTGAGGAGAAGGGAGCTCCTTTGTCTATTGATAATTTTAGAGGATTTCTCGATTTCCACCTCATGACCCGTGTCGAGGAGATGCCTGGCGATGGCACTGTTTAAAGTATTTGTTCCCTTTAGACGTAAGCTTTTTGGTACATGTTCAGAAAATCGTAGATATGCCCTTCTTTCTGTCCTTCCAATGTAACTGTTCACTAATTGTGGGACTTTCTGTCAACTGATAACATGTAAAATTTGCAAGTATGTTAAAACTTTTCCGCACGTAAACCTCATAGTTTATTTAGACTGTAAGCAGCTGGGCTGATGAGAAGCCAACGAAATAAACACAGGATGGTACCATATTCTTATTCTGCACAAACCGCCACTGTTGTTCTTACTTTATTCAAACTATGAAATTAGTCTAGAAATATTCTGCACTGAACTCAGCATAAAGAACAAAATTCGGGCTTTCAGAACCGATGTTAAGTCAGCGACTTCGTCTACATGGATCAGGAACTTGGCCAGCGCGTCAACAAAAGCTCTCACAACATGCTACGGCAGACTTTTATCAACAACTGCCCGCTTCTCTGACTGACTCTATATATATTGAAGATCAGATGGTCGGCTTCAAACAATCAGCAACAAGAAACTATGCCAAGAAACGAATCAAGAAGCTATTACGCAACAAAAATGACGAAAAAGGTGAAGATCGATTGAGGGAATACTGAGGAGACCTTCGAATGGCATCACGCTCATTGCAGCCCAACGCTCGACTGGAACCCCAAAAGGGGAACACCATGAATTATGTTTGGCTCTGAGGTTGGAATGAAGGTGGTCATGTGAGGAGGCGATCAGAGAGGATGGACAATCATGAGGCCAGCTAAAGAGGACTATGGGGAACAGGACAAAAAGTGGAGACGCGGTGCTGAAGCCCTATATATTCCACTTCGAAACCAAGGGAATCATACTGTGGTGAGAGCAGGCTGCTAGCCGATTGGTTGACACTAATCTACGTTAATGTCTAGGTCACTAATATGGGCCGTGACAAAATATGAACAAGGCTGATTCAACAACCAATCACAGCAAAGTTAACGTGGCAAAATATGATTCGCAGATAGAGAACTCTATTTGTCAAGGAATCCCGAAACAACCAATCAGGAGCCTGCGTTTGTCTGCAACCAATCAGATGACTGCGCTTTTCTACTTGCATAAGCTATAATAATGTATGTGAAATATATATAAATACGTGTTGATTTTTATAATAAAACGATCTGTTGCCTGGCCCTTGTCTTCTGTTGTTACAATACTAATAATACAGATAACCATTAACACAATGTTGATATCATACATACGTTTAACTTCAGTCACCTCGAATAGATCTTTTAGAAACCAGGAAATCGAACCATATTCAATGTGTGATGATTAACCAAACTAGCCGGTTGCCTAGGTTGAAGTATGGACATTAGAAAGAAAAGAGAACACGAAGTTCAGCGAAGATAACTGCCTGTTCGACGATATCATTATCAAAATTAACTGTACAATCGCATTTATAAACAGTATTTTACATGGATATATTTTCTTGTTTGATTGCACATAATTACGACGGTGAATAAAAGGTGATAATTATGTTCAACTAGATATGATTTTTACGAGAGGCTTAGAAACAAAATTACACAGGATTAGAACGGATAACAAGTGTGTAAGAATTGAGCATGGAAAGAAAATTGAAATAATAATTTTCCACTTGACATAGGAGTTAAGAGGTGTGAATATAGATTACAAGAGCCTTAGAGACACAAAAATTGCACAGGATTAAGATATAATTGTAAAACAGTTATTTTAAACGAATTAAAAATGTGAACGGGATCAACCTTTAAATCACTTTTTTATAACTGAAAAAAGGGGGTGAATCGAATGAAGGCAGAGGGAGTTAGAATCACACACACACGCACACACACACACAGTGAACGAAAAAAGATCAAAAAGAAAAAAGAGAACGAAAGAAGAAAATAATAAAAGGGAAGCTAAGGGAACACGCCGAACTAGGTCCATGGTAGTTGTAAAGGTTGGACTAATTTCTTTTCAACACACAGCTCCGGCTTCTCGATGCAAGTTGTGAGGGCTTCTGCAGTACAGAGAAGTCGGAGTGTAATTCTGTTTCTAAGCCTCTCGTAAACCATACCACTTTTTTCCTTCACGTTCCCAGCGGAACATAGGGCGCCTTCAAGCTAGAGGCTTGAAGTTTCTGTAGCAGTGTTTGTTTATTTTACAGGATGGGGTTGCTAGCAAGCCTCATGCTGGCCCAACCTTTCCTCTTTATCAGCATTATTTCTGGCTTAGCGAGGTAAAGGAGTGCGTTGGCGGCCGGGGATCGAACTTCGGAACATGTGCATGGTCGGCAAGCGTCATAACCACTGTACCGCCAACCATATCTAGTTGAAAATAATTATCACCTTTAATTCGCCGTTGTAATTATATGGAATTAAACAAGAAAATGTATCTATGTAAAATTACGTATTTCAATACGATTGTACAGCTAATTTCGAAAATGAAATCACCGAAAAGATTAACATCTTTGCTGAACTTCGTGTTCTCTTCTTTCTAGGTTGAAATAACACAAGGGGAGGGAGGGAGAGAGAGAGGAAGAAGATTTGGATCCTGGACTCATTGAAAGTCTATCACTGCAGCCAATGGGACAAGTGGTGTATATGCTTTGCACTCCGCCCAATTAACACCATTGATTTAATCTGCTGTATACTGTATACATCCTGCACCAATCACCATCAACAGGAGAGATTTGAAAGAGGTTACTTCATTCACTTATCTAGGGCGCTTTGCCTCAACTACAGGCAGTCGGAAGGGACGAGGATGTCAAATCGAGCGAGAATCGGGAAGGCAGGCGAGAAACACATTCATCAACCTGAAACAACCAATCTGGAAATCTTCGTCACTCAGCCACCATCAACAACAAAATTCGGTTGGATTTTCAATACAAACAACGTCAAGTCAGTCAGTTCTTCTATACGGAACGGATCAGAACCTTGGCGAGCGGGTCACAAAGAATATTTCCAACAGCCCGTTGCAGACCTTTATCAACAACTAACTGTCTTCGCTGGCTCTATACTGAAGATCAGATGGCCAGGCCGGAAAGAATCACCAACAAGAATCACTATGGGAACAAACAAACAAAACAAGAACCAATCGCCCAACCAACAAATATGCAGGAGAAAGTGGAGATGGACACTCGCTCGCTGAGTAGAGGCCACTGGGTGACATCTCGCGCGCGCGTCAAGCCATTGCTCGAGTGGAACCAGGCCGAAAGGGAAGCGGCGAGTGGGACGCAGTGAGAGGGTGACATGGAGGAGATCGTGTGAAGAGGAGTTGAAACAGTATAGACTAACATGGATTCAGGTGAAAAATACAGCAGAAGGAAGACAGAAGCAAGTGGAGACGTGCGGTTGGAACCGTATGTTCCACTAGGAACCCAAGGGAACATTAATAATATGTAATAATACAGTATACCTTTCTCTCACCCCACCCACCCCCAATGAAGTAGCTTAATGGACTCACTTAAAGGATTAAGGGGATGGGGTGAGTTGAGAACCCTATATGAAACAATTATGTCTATCACTAAATTAGAAGTAAAAAAATCGAAAGTCAGTCAAATTTACCTAATTTGTGTTGCCCCACCGCTACCGGCGCCACCAGCACCCCCACCACCTGAACTTTGACTATTTAATGCAGTTGACGATGAACTAAGACGATTATTTTGTGGACTTTTTAAACGATTTCTTGTTGCCTTCTTAGAACGTGGAACAGCCAGTGAACTATCCCGTGAATTAGTCGACGCTTGACCAGTAGTATGATTTTTATTCGAATTAACATGTCGTCTTGAGTAGGATTCAGCACGTGAATTATTTTTTGTTATATTAGTGCCTAGGAAATAGAGAATAAAAAGAGAATAGAATTAGGCAAAAGTATGTACATTTATAAGTAGGTAAGTAATCAATCTATATGGAATATAGCAAAAATATTCATTCAGATATCTATAAAACACAAAATAATTTAGCAAAGAATATCCCTTTTCGATAAATTCCTCCTCTTCTGGCTTTACAATTATATATGCCTCAGGGTGGTCGGAGGTGGGTGCCTTGCGCTGCGGGTTGGCCACCCCTCCACACACCTCTTGAAATGCTCCCATATGACCGGGCGTCTTACATAGCCTCTCCTGAGGAACTCCTACTCACTGCCTTCACGTGGCGGAGGTGTTTTTCACCAAAGTGAGAGGGCAAAAGCGGATGCCCGGCGCACTTCAACGGGTTGACTGTCCATTGGATGACAGTCTAGGGGAGATGGTTAAACCCTGATTCCAAACCTTCAACGACTGGCGTATGAAGCTCACCGGCAGACGTATGGACAAAGGGCTTATTGGATCCTCTGGATGTCTGGCCCCATTCAGAAAGGCGTATGAACTGGACTCCGGTCACCGGCTGGCTGCCAATGGATAGTGGACTCCCTAATCCACTCCTACTGCCTTGTAGGTCACACTTAGTTGTGTAAAGACTAGAGCTGCACTCTCAAACAAAAGGCCGAGCGGTGCTGGGGACATCACTCGTACCCAATTCCCATGAAACTTCATGGTTCATGAAGCCGGCTCATCCTCCCGTAGGAGATAGCCGAAGTAAAGAAAGAAGATATGCGTGTTTATATACACAATATATTCAAGAATGGTAGTTAATAACAATATTAGTATGCTTTTTAAATAATAAGGATTTGTAAATTATGATCAATAGCGTCAGCGGCATAGAGGTTAGGATGCTCACCGACCATGCACATGGTCCGAGGTTCCATGCCCGGCAACCGAAGCACTCCTTTACCTCGCTAAGCTAGAAATAATTCTAGTAAAGAAGAAAGGTTGACCATGAGGCTGGCTAGCGACCCCATTCTGTAGAAATAAACACCACTGCTACAGAGACTTCAAGCCTCTAGCTTGAAGGCGCCCTATGTTCCACTGGGGAACTTGAAGGAAAAAAAAAGGTATGATCAATGCAATTACAGTTCATTAAAGATGCATAAATTATAATAGTAATAAAGATATAATAGCGAATAGAATATCAACTAAAGTTAGGGAAATTCCACAAAAATTCAGGATTATTCAAACCTAGATGGCCAAGCGATAATGACAATGTCTGAACCAACTAACTTCTTTTAGATGCATAAATTAGGCGTGTTAATATGAATCCCAACAGCCAGCCTCAGCAATATTTAGTAGTCGACCTCCTAAGGCGAAACTGAGATTTGTTGGTATGCGGTAAATGACTCTGATAGCCTAGTTAACACCAATCCTGTGTTCTGTATCCACAAGATGAGATAGAATAGCGCTACGAATAGATTTTGTTTGTCCTTTGCTTAACCACTATGCAGGATGATGTTCTGAAATCCGACGAGAAACACGCCTAATTGTACGGCCTATACAACTAACTGGTTCACTCCACAGGAGCAGTTAAATTGGTAGCTACACATAGAAGAGACGAAATTATGCAGTTTATCTTTTACTCTCGAACGCAGAAGAAGAGTGGTTTTAAAGGTACAGAGTAATTCATCAGCAGTAGCAGGGAATGCTTTTTACCGCATTTTTAAGGCGTCGTGTTAGTATCTGGCTGATGCTGCCCCTCAAGGAACTGCATCTGTAAGAATAAGGCCTTCCTGTTTTGGAACTGTTGGTAACTTCGGCTGCTTTGGTTTCAGATTTTTCATATTCTTATCAATAAACTTTTCAGGATAACCATTTTCACTTAGCAACAGTTTAATATTATTAAGTTCCTCATCAAGACATTCATCCGAGCAGATCCCTCTCTTTCTCTGAACCAAGCACTTTATCAGATTGCGTTTGTATTTCAAGGGCACAAAGCTAAGAAAATGTGTGTACTGCCCCGTTGATGTAGGTTTTCTATGCATACACTTCTTCTTATTGTGCCATCCTCTTTTCTGGTCATAAAGACATCTAAAAATGGAATACTCGAGTCTTTTTCTTTCTCAATAGTAAAATTTATTGTAGAGTGGATCTCATTAAATTTATCCAGGATGCTCTTTGCTTCCTTCCCATTTTTCATAGTCAAAAATGTATCATTCATGTACCGACAATAAATTTCGAGTTCATTATTAACATCGTTTAAAGGTTCATTTTCTAGTTTCGCAAGAAAAATGTCATCGCTATTCTGTTTCATCTTGTGGATGCGACAGAACACAAGATTGATGTTAACAAGGCATCTTTCAGGGCCATTTACCGCATACCTACGAATCTCAGTTTCGCCTTAAGAATCCGTCTACTAAATATTACTGAGGCTGGCTGTTGGGATTCATATTAACAAGCCTAATTTATGCATCTAAAAGAAGTTGGTTGGTTCAGACATTATCATTATCGCTTGGCCATCTAGGTTTGAATAATCCTGAATTTTTGTGGAATTTCCCTAATTTTAGTTGATATTCTATTCGCTATTATATCTTTATTATTATTATTATTATTATTATAAATTAGGCATCTTTAATGAACCGTAATTCCGCTGTGATCTTACTTTACAGATTGATATTATTTAAAAAGCACACTAATATTGTTATTAACTATACTAATCTAGAATATTCTGTGCATATATAAACATGCATATATGATCGTAGAGCCGGGAGAGGGGGAATTTATCGAATAGGATATTCTTTGCTCGATTATTTTGTGTTCTATATGGAATAGTTTTTTCTTTTAATGAGCACCATATTAATTTTACTGTATAATATATAAAGAGAAAATGATGAACAACACCAAATATAGTAGAGGGGTGCATACACCAATAATATGTACATTCATATAGAGACTGCGTACAGTTTGGTTAACACTAGTGTGTTATATAAGCATTAACAATATGGCTGAAACAGACAATGAGCGATAGATACAGTGATAGAGCATACTTCAGCAACAATCAACAGTTAAATAGCATACATAAGCCAAGTATAAGCAAAGACAAATCATTACTCTAAGAAGAAAAAGTATTTTTTTTAAATAGTGCTACATAAGCATATGGTCATGGGTTCGATCTCCGACCATCAACGCACTCCTTAAACCTTGCTAAGCCAGTAATAAGCCTGCGTGGGCAATATTGAGGTTAGCCGTCGGTCGAGTGTTAGGTAAGGATGAAGGGGAAATCAATACACGAGGCTGTGAAGTTACATCGACTGAGTGAGATGGTTAGGACATGTGTTACACATGCATGCTTAGCCATCGTCTTCCTCGACCGACAGTCAATGTTAGCTGACTGACATAGGGCCGCTCTGGTAGGAAAACAGCCAGTAATAGTTAAACGAAAACGTGGCTTCATCGGTCAATGAAATCCACAACAGTTAGTTTAAGCCAGCCAGAGAGTCAGCCATTACTTGTAGACTAACCCAGTTAAGAGTAGATATCAGATAGATATATTCTAAAAATCCGCTCCTTCATGCAATTTACATTATCTGGTTCAAAGTGAATTATATTATCAGATGGGGAACTTGACTTTCAGCCGATAGGCCTCAGAGATCCTATACCTTAGAATTACATGCTTAATCTTAGCCATGTTAGTTTCAGCACAGAAACGTTTATATGACTTTCAACTGAGTTCAGCTAGAGAACTTTTTAAAACAGGGAGAGAGGGAGCATAGAACATGTTTGTGACTCTTCAGCAATACTCACTCATGACCCCCATCAGCGATCGAACACCCAGGACCTTTAGCTAGCCAATAATGTCAGATTGTTATTCAAGTATTGGTTTGTAGGGATTTCTGGTTGATTGGTTACAGGATTTCATCATGAGCTGACATTTGTTAGAGAACAATTGGAAAACCACCTGGGTGTACTAGATAGCTGTTTCGTCCTAACATTGGTTCTCTAGCCAATGTCAGATTGTATTTTCCTCAATTCACAATCTTAGTCTAAAGATGGTGAGTGATCTATATGAAGTAGCTAGCAGAACACTGAAAGGCAATACTCATTCACTTACTCACACACACACACACACACACACAAGCAAACAGTACACGCCTTAAAATAGTCAAAAAGTCATGATAAGCTATCAGAGCAGAAGGAATCGCATGCACAGTATACACAGTACGACTATTTTAAGCTGACACAAACACCAATGCCTAACTAATGGGTTACATCATCCGCATGCTTTCAATGGGTTATAAACTCGTCTACGAAGTTGAAAAAGAAAGGGATATATACACAGTGGGCTGGCTAAGCCTAATGCAAACGCAGGATGGACACACGTACACACAGACACATAGATAGACAAACAGGCAAACATAAGCATATGTAAGCATAAGCATAATAAAGTACAAATGTTATACAAAGATGTGTAAAATGAATGAATATATATTGAATTTAATATTGAATTTTTTGGCGGGGCATATAACTGAAAAAGAAGATTAAAAAATAAAAAAAATGTCTTGAGAATAGAGAAAAAAAGAACATGATAATTACAAAAAAGTACATTCATCACATGATTAGATGTTTTACACAAAATAATTTTCAATTAAAAAAAATATTCTTCTGCCAACTCACAACATAACACGATCACTAACCGCTAAGCAATTGTCTTTGGACAGTATTTGTCTTCACATCCTAACATGCTGCATCCCACTGGTCACGACTTCTCCATTAGAACTCCAAGGTGATTACTCACCTGAATAGGGCCAGTCGCTAGTGAGTATTTCATTGATCTTCAAGTATTGGTTTGTAGGGATTTTTGTTAGAGAACCACTGGAAAACCTGGGAGTACTGTATCGCTATTTCATCCTAGTTCAGGACTTCTCAGAAGTATGCTGCGAGTGGGGTTCAAACCCAGGACCTTCTGGCTACAAAGCGACCTCGTACATCATTCAGCCACAAATTGGCAGAAGTTGGAATTCAT